ATTTCTTATGAGCTAAATCTTTTTTCCTTAACAATTTTATAATTTCCTTTCCAAACCAAGGAGGGTAGAATGTTCCTTTTTTACGACAAAGAGGTACGTTTTCACTAATGGTCACAGACATTTTAGAGTACATCAGGCTACAAGCAGACTCGACATCAGAACAAGAAATAATGTCACTCCAATCAATATTTAAAATTTCGTTGTATAAATGAGGAAAGTTTGCCCTTTTAAAGTTAAATTTATCACGAGTAGTATTCTGCCCAAAATTTATAACATAATTTAATTTATTTGGATAGTGCTTATCTAAAAGGAACCAAAAACTTGTTCGGAGCTTAACAAACTTATTTGTATATACCTAACTCATTTTTAATGCTGCTCAAAAACTTAATTATAATTTGAAAGTCCTCTCAATAATTTAAAAGAAGTTCTAAATAATGATAAACTTTTTTGATTATTAAAAATGAGTTATTTTACAAAAAATTTTGTTAAGTCCAAAAATAGTTTTTGGCGCTTGGTTCCTTTTAGATAAGGATTGTCCATTTATACTTACCATTACAATATTATTTTATCAACAGTTTTGGTCAAAGTAATATTTTATCTACGATTTTTATTGGATAAAAGGCAGCTTTAACTTTATAATGTAGCTATAAAACAATATTTGGTTGGTAATACATTTTTCTTGTTTATAGGATGCTAAACTAAATAGCAATTTTCCCCACTTCTTTTTTTTATTTTTCAACTTTTAATTTGGTTTAGTTTTTCTAAATTTTCCCAACATTTATTAAAATGGATATATCCGTGGAAAACCGGCTATATTATAGCCGGTTTTCCACGGATGCTCCTCAACTTGGTCTAGGTCTTTTAAATCAAATTTGCGTATAATTATAAATTTAGACATTATTTTTAAATAATGGCTTATAATTCATTCAATAATATAATAGTTTTTATGAAATTTTGGATAAAAATACTTCAACTTATATCTCAATTTACGTGTTCAAGGGTTTTTCGAGAAAATATGTTTAAAGCCTTTTTATTTAATAATGAGTAATAAGTTCGAAAAATCACTTCTAGGGATTTTTTTTTTAAATAGAAAATATGCTGTTAAAGAGCGTATTTTTTTTAGTATACCCTGAAAATTTTGTACAAATCAAGCGAACAGTAACGAAGATACAGCGCTTCAAAGTCGTGAAAAATGACCACATTTCAGCAAAATAATCAAAAAGGCGTCATTTTTACCGACTTTGAAGCGCTGTATCTTCGTTAATATTCCTTTGATTTGTACAAAGTTATCAGGGTGTACTAAAAAAAATACGCTCTTTAACAGCATATTTTTTATTTATTTAAAAAAATTCCCTAAAAGTTATATTTCGAACTTTTTTTCATTATTAAATAAAAAGGCTGTAAACATATTTTCTCGAAAAACCCTCTAACACGTAAACTGAGATATAAGTTGAAGTATTTTTATCCAAAATTTCATAAAGATTGGTAAAGGCGTTTTAGAGTTAATTTTTTAATATTTATTATGCGATAATTTTGTCGGGCAGTGTATTAAAGTATACGTCATTACTTAGATTTTTTAGAATTTTTGGTGTATTTAAATCTAATAATTTTAAAGTTCAGTTTCACTTCTTTTGATTCCCATTTAAGTTTTACACAAAATTACCTAACCTCAACAATAATTCTTATAATAATTATAATTATTGATATATTTGTATATTTTTTATTAACATGGAAATATATTTTTTAAAGGCTTAACTTTTAAACAAAAACGAATCGCATCCATGTCATTTAAGAAAAAATGTTTATAATTAACCCAGCTATCATCTGACAAAGTTTGCCATAGAGCTTGTAGAGCACCCTGTATAAGATATTTAAACCTTTTCAAAATTATTATAAACAAAGGTACCTAAATTCAACAATACTTTTAAATTATTATAATATAAATAATTATAATTTAACGATAATAATTATCGTTAAATTATAATAATTATAATTATTATTATTATAATAATTATAATTATTATTATAATAATAATTATAATTCAACAATATTATTAAATGTTTAAGTATACCTACGTCATTATTTAAGAATATTGTTAAGTTTAATATCTTCTAGGTATTTTAAATCAAATTTGCCTATAATTATAAATTTAGAAAATATTTTTAAATAATGACTTATAATTAATTTAATAATAATTATTATTACCTATAATAATTTTTATTATAATAATTATAATTCAACAATATTATTAAATATTTAAGTATACCCACGTCATTATTTAAAAATATAGGTCAAGTTTAGGTATAGTCTAGGTATTTTAAATCAAATTTGCCTATAATTATAAATTTAGACATTGGCAACACCGCAGGGCTTCTGATACACAGCGGAGTGTGTTTCTTGTTGTTTATGCACCAACGAACAGTTAACCGCCCCGTCCCGCATTACCGGGCTTCGACTAGCCAGTGTAATGCACCGGCCTTCGCATTGATAGCCGTGCATGTATATATATATATGCATATATATATATATATATATATATATATATATATACATATCGGAAAGCATATGAATATCATATCGACCCATGCAACGAAGACTATTGTAACTCAGTTTTGATTGTAGACTAGAGTAACTCAACTTTATATAGTTTTTGCCTGTAGGAATGTGGATTATTAATTATTAATTAATAATTATTACAATTACTGTACAGGGAAGTTGTTCACTGGTTGCCTATCGTTTCATGTCTGAGTTACTGTAATCTTCCACTAAATAGAGCTTAAAAAAATCTGGTGATGCCATATAGTAAGTCAAAACCCACGTTTTTTGAGTTACTATAGTCTTCGTTGCATGGGTCGATATACTGTGCTACTTGGGAATACACACAAGTCGAATGAGCGTTTTTTCACATTTTTTGTAATATCTCTGTAAATACTCATTTTAGCTATAGAGTATGCTATAACATTTTAATGGAGAATAAAATTCCGTGTCGAATGACGTAAAAAATTTATTATCGTTCCATTTGAAATAAGAAAGTTATTGGCATTTAAAATTGCAAAAAAGTAAAGGTAAATACCAAACACCCTGTATAACATTTTGGACTACTATTAATGGCTCCTGATAGGATACGTCTTTGTTAACGTGTATACTAAAAATGAACTTTTTAACATTACAATTGTTGGTAATACAGACATTTTAGTCAGTCACTCCAAGTGTCAATTTTTTTTGAAAAAATTAAATATCTCAAAAACAAATAAATATAGGAAAACGATTCAAAATGCAACTACTCCAGAATTTTACGTAGAATTTTAAAATGCAATAATATTTATACGGATTCATTTGAAAAAACAAAGTTAATGTCACTTCCGTTTAAACCGAAAGTGACAACGCATTAAAAATATTTTAGAAAAATAGATCCCACCGCACCATAGCTGCAACCAAAATTTCAGATTGATGTCTCTTTTAGTTCTCCTAATGAATCAGTTAGGTGAATCACCCTGTATAATAATAATAGATATGCATGTCATTCGAGAGGGAGTTTATCAGAGAAATGAGTTATATGCATGCATATTTTATTCTTAAACTGTTATCTACAGAGTTTTATATTTCATTTCAAGTAATATGCTATGTTCGACAAGAAAAACAACATTACTTTATCTCAATATGTATCTAGCCGTTGTTCGTAAACATTTAAAAACAATACATTTTTAAAAAAGCCTATAAGTCTTTTGAGTATTTAATTGGTGCAGTGTCGGTAGGATAGTTACGTCGGGACGCGCTGAAGAAAGCATGGTGCCTTTTTGCGAAGTTTCGTCAGTTAAACTGTTAAACGTGACTAAACAGTCCATCGGGGACAAACAACAGAAAATACTAAAAGACTATAGACAGCTGTGCAGTTCCAACAAGACCAACAAGGGCTGAAGAAAACCGAGGAAGACGCATGCGACCTGTATACAACAAGTAAGAGCATTTTCCTTATCAATTCCTATCCTTTGGTTCTTTAAGGCAGATATATATTCAAAATTTGATCTCTGTATAAGATCACGTAGTTTTAGTTAGGCTAATAAAAATCAAATTAAGTCAAAATTGATTCACTTGAAGAAATAACCAATTATTTAAAAAATTTAAACATAAACCCAGAAATAAATATGATTCAACCTGTTAACTATCAGCTTCTTAGATTAACTATTGATACCTAAATTTGATGGCGATACACACGTTTTAGAAATTTTTATTGACTCGTGTGATTTTCTGATAAACACTTACAAAAATGTAAACGATGCAAACGATCCCATAAACAATTTTCTTGTATAAGCTATTTTAGGTAAGCTTTCTGGCAGAGCTCAATATTTAATAGGCTCAAGACAAGAACCAAATACGTGGACACAAATTAAGGATACATTAAGATCAACTTTCGGAGAAAATCGCAATTTGGATTGTCTTGTTAATTGTTTTGCGACCTTTGCGAAATGAAAGTCCTGTTAATTGTGGTTTAAGAATACAAGATGCGCGTAGTTTAATATTTTCAAAATTAAAATCTATTTCAACATATTCCGATGCAGAACGCGTTTTACACGTCAAGAATTATAGCGAACTTTCTTTAAAAACTTATATTAGAGGTTTATCTAGTAGACTACAAGACATAATAAGGCTTCGAAATCCTAAAGACCTCGAAGAAGCCATTTCCTTTATAATTGAAGAAGAAAATTTTGCATACGCTAATAACCAATCCCGTCAAATGTCACAATTACATATGGTTAACAAAAGTATACCTAAACCTTCTTATAATTTTTATTATCAAAATCCTACACCATCTAGACAAAATAATTCATCATTTCAACATTTTCCCACCGGGCCTGTTCAGATGAGACCACACCCAAATCCACCTCAACAAAAATTCCCCACAAAAAACAAGTGTTTGGCTCTCCCCAAGTAAAATACAATAAAAATATTTTTAAACCAACTGGCCAAATTCCTTTAAATAAAACTACCCCTATGTCAGGTGTAAGCCATTTTTCCAATTTTTCCAAAGGACCAATTCACACCCAACAACAACAATTTCAATCTACTCCTATGTCAGGTGTATCCCGCTTCTCAAATTTTACTGCAAGAACAATTCAAAACTCTCCTCAAAACCAAACATATTTTCGATCATCTGGACCTAAAAATTTTAAGGCCGAAGAACTCAATAACTTTAAAAATAATCCCACAGGTGATAACGACCACTTTGAAGATAATGCTTATTCTTTAAATGACAATGAACTAGATACCGAGTATACATGTGATACACAACAATACGAGGAAAATGACACCGATGAACTACAATTTTATGATAATGAAAATAATGTAGAATATGAAAATTTTATTTTAGGTGCCCATACGCCACACAAAACATAACAAATTTCGACAAAATCGAAATCAATAATACGTGCGACGACAATACCTTATCATATATTGCGCTTTGTGATCCTCCTATAAAATTATTAATCGACACCGGAGCGACAAAATCAATTCTAAAACCTGAAATAGCCGAAAAATTATTCCCTAATACTATATTTTACGATCCATTTTCAATAAAAACCTGTAATGGCGAAAACCAGTGTAGATTCAAGTCTCAAATTCCTGTGTCTTATCTCTTAGGTTTAGAAACAAACCAAACTATCACATTTCATCTTTTTAATTTCCACGAATTTTTTGATGGCTTGATTGGATTTGCAGACATAATTAATTTAAATTTTAAAATTGATTTTCTAAATAAAGTTATTTTTAATGACCAATTTAGTATACCTTTATTATTTAGGGAGCCCCAAAAAACAAAATTTAAAATAAAACTTAAACCGTTAGAAATACATAAAGTAAAAATTCCTGTAAATGTTTATTCGGGTGAAATATTAATCCCTCAAGTTAAATCCAAAAATTATTTTTTCCTGAAACACTAACAATATCAAAAAAAAGTTATGCTTTAACTAAAATGAGAAATATTACAGATGAACCCCACACTTTAGAATTTATTCAACCATTAAAAGTCACTCCCTTTCCAGATTCAATAAAAGAAAATTTTGAACTATTTAATATAGAAGATTTTAAAGATAATTATAACTTTTCCACTCAAGGTAGCATAAATCATTTAATTAATACCGATCATTTAAATAGCGAAGAAAAATCTAAAATATTAAAAATTTGCAACGAGTTTTCTGTAATTTTCCATAAACCAAACGAAAAGCTAACTTTTACTAACCAGATAAAACACGAAATTAAAACAAATGTCGAAATTTCGGTACATACAAAATCTTATCGTTATCCATTTGTGCATAAATTAGAAGTCAAAAAACAAATAGACAAAATGCTTGAAGATGGAATTATAAGACCCTCGATAAGTCCATGGTCTTCACCAATCTGGATCGTTCCTAAAATGCTCGATTCTTCCGGTAAAAAGAAATGGCGTATTGTTGTGGACTACAGAAAGGTTAACGAAAAGACTATTGATGACCGCTACCCGCTTCCAAACATTCATGATATTTTAGATAAACTTGGTCGCTGCCAATACTTTTCCACGCTTGATCTTGCATCCGGATTTCATCAGATTGAGATGAATCCAAATAGTATACAAAAAACCGCGTTTAATGTCGGGAATGTACATTACGAGTATACTTGAATGCCATTTGGTCTTAAAACATTCCAGCGTGTCATGGATAATATTTTTAGAGATATTCAAAATAAAAATTGTTTAATATACCTTATAATTCTCTAGAGGAACACATTTCAAATTTGAAACTAGTATTTCAGCGTTTAAAAGATTCAAAATTAAAAGTTCAGTTAGACAAATCTCATTTTTTGTGTAAAGAAGTAGAATTTTTAGGCCATATTGTTACAGCAGAAGGTATTAAACCAAACCCCAAAAAGATCGAAGCTATTATTAAATTTCCCATCCCCAAAACCGCTAAAGAAATAAAATTATTCTTAGGTCTAATTGGTTACTACCGCCGATTCATCAAAGATTTCGCTAAATTAACCAAGCCTTTTACGAAATGTTTAAAAAAGGGTGAAAAAATATTACACGATGAGAATTTTCTTACAACTTTTAATTATTGCAAAAATATCCTAACAAAAAGTCCAATTTTACAATTTCCTGATTTTAAAAAACCGTTTAACCTAACAACAGACTCTCAAATTTTGCTATCGGAGCGGTTTTGTCGCAAGGTCCAATCGGTCAAGATTTACCCGTCGCGTACGCCTCAAGAACATTAAATCCCGCAGAATGTAATTATTCAACTATTGAAAAAGAACTCCTGGCTATTGTTTGGAGCACGAAACATTTTAGGCCCTATTTGTTTGGAAATAAATTCAAAATTATCACTGACCATAAACCTCTCCAATGGTTATTTTCTCTTAAGGACCCAAGTTCTCGACTAGTTAGAGGAAGACTTAAGTTAGAAGAATATCAGTACGAAATAATTTATAAAAAAGGTAAAGCAAACACAAATGCGGATGCTTTATCACGAATTGAAATCAATCCGTTAGACATCGATAACCAATCAATATTCCCTGAAGTAGGTGATATCGATAAAGACATTCAACAATTCCTAAATAACGATGCGCCTATACCGGAGCTTTCCCAAAATTTGCTAGATGATTTACTTAAACCACCAAAAATAAACATAATTTCGGACATTCAAATTCAATCCCCTTTTAAAAATGTTGAACCCACTTACACCATTCATTCGTCAGAAGAAAATCCCGTTCTTGGCATACCAATAACTGAAAAATCTGTTAATTCATATAATAATCAAATAATAATTTCAACCAATATTAAATTAAATAACAAATACGTAATTATAGAAAAGCCTTTTAAAGATAGAAATAGAATTCGTGTTTCTATACCTTTAAAAATTTAGACCAATAAATAATCTCATTATTTAAAGAATATGTTACCGATAAAAAATTATACTGTCTTTACTTAATAAACACAGATATCATTCCGCAATTTTGTCAAGTCATTCAAAAAACTTTTCATAATTCAGCTTTTAAACTTGTTAGAAGTCATTTATACTTAGAAGACGTAGAAACATTCGAATTACAGCAACTTAAGATTAAATATTATCACGAAACCAAAACCTGCCACCGCGGCATTAATGAAACTGAGCTGTCACTAAAAAGAAAATACTTTTGGCCGAAAGTAAGATTAGACGTAGAAAAATATATTAACAATTGCGATGTTTGCCAAATTTCAAAATACGATAGAAGTCCTCCTGTAATTAAATTTAATATAACGCCCACATGTTCCAAATCTTTTCAACAAATTCATTTAGATGCATTTCAAATAAATAATCAAAAATTTATTACAATCATAGATTCTTTTTCTCGTTACGCTCAAGCATATAAAATAATTGGTCCAAGTGCAATCAGTACTATTGGTTCATTATTACAATTTGCTTCTCATTACGGACTCCCACGCATTATAGTATCAGATAACGGTTCAGAATTCAACAATTTAACATTAAAAGATTTTGCAAAAATTCACAATATAAAACTACATTTTTGCACGCGTTATAATCCAAATAGCAACTCGCTCGTTGAGAGATTACATTCCACTCTTATCGAAGGAATAAGGTGTCTTCGCGTTGACGATAAAACCAGTAGAATAGAACAGTTAATGATCCATGCAATTCTAGCATACAATAATTCTATACATTCATCAACAAAACAAACTCCTTTTAACATAATAAATGGTCACACAGATAGTGTAGATCCTTTTGATTTTACAGATGAAAACATTATAAACGATTATATTTGCCAACACCAGGAAAAAACTAAAAAACTTTTCGAACTGATTCATGATTCTACAAAAATTTCTAAAGACCGGATCATTTCAAAACTAAACGAAAAACGCGAAAATCTTCTCGAATATGCGGAAAACAGCAATATGTATGTAAAAGAAAACTTTAGGTCCAAATTAGAAATATAAAAAAGATAAGTTAGCTCTAAATTGTGGAATTAAAGCTAAACTTTTAAATAATAAAAAAATTCACAAAAAAAATCTAAAAAAGCCGAAAAAATTAACAGATAATATTTTGTTACAGATACAAGATGAAGTTGATCATCCTGTTTCCCCTCCTTTTAATTTACCCGGTCCTAGTCCCAGCGACCTTTAAAATAACCTCTTTAGCAAATACCCCTGGTATATTGCCCTTTAGAATAGGAAAAGCTAAGCTTATTAATAAAAATCACGTATTTCTATATTATTATAAATTAGATACCCTTAAAACCCAAATTAATAATCTTAATACTCTTTATGACAATCTTAATGATTCTCTTCATAAAGATGTGTCAATTTCGCTGACTCCTGTATACTATAGTATAATAAATAGTTACAATAATATTAAGCCTTTAATAGTAGAAATTAATGAAAAATATCAAACATTAGTTCTTAGTTCAGATAGATATAGAAATAAAAGAGGTCTTATTAACGCTTTAGGTTCATTTAATAAGTTCTTAACAGGTTCATTAGATGCCGAAGACGGTGAAAGATACAATAAAGCTATAGAAAATTTAGAGCATAATCAACAAGAAATTGTTTACGAGGTTAACTCACGAATATCTCTTTTTAAAAATCTGTCAGATAATTACTCAAATACAATACAAAAATTACTTAATAATCAAAACAATACTTTAAAATATTTAAAAGAATATAAAGAAGCGTTAAAATCTGAAGCTGACACCATTTATTTGAATACTGTATTTTTATCACTTATTAATCAAATTTTAACTAACTCGAATATTTTGGTTACCATTCTGGATAATTTAGAAAACGCTGTAGTCTTCTCAAGACTTAATTTGATTCACCCCGACATTTTAAAACCAAAAGATTTGTCTTTAATTCTAAATTCATTGTCAAAAATATACTTAAAAGAAGAAATAAATCATATAGATAAATTTAATTGGTATTCATTAATAAAAACTAGTAGTTACTTTTCAAATAATTGTCTTATATTTGTCTTAAAGGTGCCTATCACATCTTTGGAAAATTTCGATTATTTCCACCTGTATCCCATTCGTACAACCGAAAACTTAGTCCTTATTCCACCAAAACCTTACATTGCTCTCTCAACGTACTTTCACCAATTCATGGAAAGCCCTTGTGAGAAAAGTAGCGAGGTATATCTTTGCATCCAGGAAAATCTACTTACCAATGAGGATTGTATCTCATCTTTAATATCAGGCACACCTAAAAATGGTAAATATACAGAAATTTCTCCAATGGCCGAGTCGATCGAAAAAATCGATGAAAAATTTCTTATAACAAGCTCTACGAATCCACTCCAAGTAAAGCAATCCTGTAAAGATGAAAAATAGATATTTTTAAATGGAATCAACTTAATCGAAATTCCTTTTAACTG